ATAACTCTCTAAATTTTTTTCAGCAGTACATATACATTCTGAGGCTTATAATCCTCTAATTTTTTTTTGTGTACATGTACCTTTTTAGGTTTGTAACCCGTTTAGATTTTTTAAGTGTTTCTATACTATCTGAGGCTTATAGCTATTTGAGATTTTTTGAGTGAAGGCCCTATCAACCACTTGCTCTAATGAAGTCTTTCTATTGAGGACCCAACCCATTACTAGCTTCTCATCAATGCTATCTGATGGGTGTGCCTTCCAAAAGTACGAGTGGAGGACTGCTCTATCACTTGCCCTTAGGGAGCCTTTCTAGTGATGAATATGTGCACTATTAGCCACCCATCAAGACTACCCCCTAGCTTATCTTTTAGGAGTAATACTGGAGACTTTGTTTGCCACTTATTCTCAATGTAACTTTTTTGTGAGGAATTTGCCCACTACTAATTTCCCATAATGACTATCTCATGACTAGGGGTGTAAACGAGCCTAACTCGAGCGAGCCCAAGCTCAGCTCATGTTCGTCTCGTTTATTTTTCAAGCTCAAAAAGTGTGTTCGTGTTCGGCTCATTTGCTTAGCGAGCCGAACACGAGCCGTTCACGAATAAAGAGTCGTTTTGACAACTCTAATCACATAGCCCTAGGATGTTAAGGATTGGAGTCAGATTTAAAACATCATTTGAATCTAATTTAATAATTTTTATTCTATTTTCTTAATTAATATTTTTAATTGATTATAAATCTTTGTAGCCTTGTAGTCAATTAAATTTTTATGTATAATTGATTAGTAGTATTTCAAGCCAAAACGAGCCGAACACAAACAAACAAATATTTGTTCGTGTTGTTCGTGTTCGACTCGTTAACTTTGCGAACGAGCTGAACACGGGCTTCATAACGAGTTGAACACGAGTCAAACATGAACAACGAGTCGTTTTGACAACCCTACTCACAACCATGTCTTCTAAGAATATAAGTGGAGGCTGTGTTCGTCATTCGGTCTCTAAATATCTTTCTAGTGAGCATTGTATCAACTATTAGTTTCCTATTGAGGCTAACTGAAGGACTTGTCTTCCAGAGGTATAGGTGGAGACTGTCTGCCACTTACACTCAAGAGGTCTTAAAATAGATAATATCATTATAAAAAAGTTCACTAATAATAAAAAAATTTACTTGAATGATAAATTTTTGTCTCTAATAACAAAAATAGAAGAGAAAATTCTTCTAAATAATAAAATTAGAAAATTTTATGATAAGATCTTTCAACATATGAGAGCAAATAGTCTTTTGTAGAGATAAAATAGGTAATTGTACTCCTCATTCAATAATTTTAATAATTTTTTTCCATGACTCTTCTGATTGTCTCTGAAAATGACAATATTAAAATTGATCATCACCATTTGTGGCTTTTAATGGCTTTGGTCACTTGCGATATTCTGAATTTAGAATCTTCATTAAAATATTACTTTTGGATATGTTTAGTTGAGTATGATTAGATATCTGATATTGATTTTGATGAAAATAATGTTTCTTCTGTTGACTTTACATCCTTATCTGCGAGGTTTGTGTAATTTCTTAAAGAATGTGTTTGCATTTACCAAAAGATTATTCAAATTGTGTTTGATGGGTATTAATAGCTTCATCAATAATGATTTAAGCCTCAACGGAATGGATGAGGTAAGAATATAAGCGAACTATTTCAAGCATTAATGATGAGTATAAAGACCCAAAATATAACTCTTTTAGGAAGACCCTATTAATATCTCTAGATCTACTCCTAGAATTTGATGAGCTTCAGTAGTGAATCCAAGAAAGTATTTTTTAAGTGACTCTATTTCATTTTGACGAATTCTAGAAAGATTACAAGAGTCTTTGATAATCCTTTGGTTTAATATAAATTGTTCCACAAAGAGTTCGAAAGTTCATCAAAGTTATGAATAGTTTCTCTTGGTGTGAATAAAACTAAGTACGTGCTTGACCTTTGAGGGAGGTAGGAAAAACATGATATACGGGAGCTTCAATGGCTCTTTGTATATGCATGATGGTTCTATTATGACCAACATGTTCATATAGGTTAGTCATCCATCATAAAAGTCAATGCTTGGAAGCTTAAATCCTATTCGATTGGGTGTTAAGGGAATATATCGACTAAAGGTGAAGACTTCAAGGAACTACGAGTAAGAAAATTACTTGTCTCTTAAAGAGGGTTCTCCTTGAACCATACGTTATAGCTCATTGTGAATTGCGTAATGAGGTTGAGCTAAGTACTCTAAGTGTATAGTGGTTTGCAATTTGGTAATGTTTCACAAGATGGATGTGTGAAACTAATAATATTCAAGGGGTTAGTTTCCTAACCCAGCTGAGGAGTAACTCTAACATGAGGAGGGACTGCTGGTGGAGTGTTCTTTATCTGAGGGTCCTTGATTGGTGGTTGATATTGGGGTAGATGAACCTCGCCCATTTGTACTAATACAGATTGTTAATATTTGCATAGAAGTTGAAGAATCACATTTTTGAGACTCCTCAATTCTTTGCATACTAATTTAAGGGGCAAAGAAGAGGCGTCTTCACTAGTAGGGTGATGCTTGTCAGGAGAAAATGTAGAGGTTTGTCTATTGGTGTTGGAGCTTAAGGTTCTATTATTATGAGTATTACACTTCTTAACCATTGAAAGACTTTTCACATTTTTATAAAAAAATGAGAATTTATTTCCCACAAATGGTACAAACTGTTATGTGCTGGAAAATTCATGGTAGTATAATGATAATTTAACTTATTATTGTATGAAGATCCAACACACATAAAAATAATGGAATGAGACATCAACATTTTTTTACATGAAAAAATTCTGAAAGAGAAAAAATCAGGAGGCCTAGCCCAGTCAAAATACTATATTATATGTATGTAAGTATAGGAGTACACTCTTCTCTCACATTAAGGAGAACTAGATTATAATCTTACATTAAAAAACTATGCTTGTCCTTATATATCTAAAAAATATAAGTGTTAGGAAGACACAACCATAGTCTGGCTGCAATGGTAGCAAGAAGTGGTCGCCAAAAGCTAATGGTCGACGATGCTAGTTGATGGTGGCCCATGGCTACGGAAATGAGTGATTGATAATAGTTGGCAGTTATGAAGACCGCTAGTCACTTGCCAAGTCTTCTTTTCAGAACATGGTCTGAAATTTCACTTCTCATTTTGTTCTTCGGCTGTTAAGTGAAAAGAGGGGCCCATTTATAGCTTTTTAGAGAGGGAAATTTTGGTCTTTCGGAGCATAACTTCTCTAACCACCTGATCGGAAAGTTGATGTTGATCCCCCTTAATCACAAATGATTTTTTAAGGATTTTTATGCCTTAATGACCTCAAAACCGAGTGAACTTTGGCTCGTCGGATTCCTCTCATCAAGATGCTCAATTCAACTATAAATATGTGAAATTCGAAGTACTTTGATTATTCACAAAACCGAGTGATCTTTGGCTCGTTGGATTCCTCTCATCAAGACGCTCAATTCAACTATAAATATGTCAAATTCGAAATACTATGATTATTCAATTGATAATTCAAAGCCTCCAGTTGTGCTTGAATAGGGTGATATGGGCTTGATTAGACCCGAAATGAACAAATTTTAAAGTCGTTTGGTTCGTCTTCTCGCGTCACTCAATTTGTTTATAAATTTGATCAATTTACAGCTTGAATGATAAGAAATTTGAATTTGGAAGTTTTCTTACAAAAAAAAATGTATTAAGATTTATACTTGATCATATACTTTTTAGTGAATTATACTTTAATAGACTAATACTCTAATCTAATTTATTATAACTACTATCTATAGCTAGCTATAGATAGTAGTTATAATATTTCTCGAATTTCAAACATGTTTGTAGTTTATGGGAGCATTCTTCAAACTCTAATTGAATATGTTAGAATTTTTTTCAAAATATTAATATAAAATTGTTTTAATTTTATTCGAATTTATTTTCTTAATACTTTAATAAACAGTTAAGACATTAGAAAAATAACAAAGAGCTGAAATAATTGAGTTTGGCAATAGAAGCCAATTCAAATTTGTCTTTATTGTCTTTCACTATTTAGAGCAACCTTAATTTACCAAAATATAAATATTTATTTATTATATTTTACTTTTATTTGTCAAAATACATAATAATGTAAAGACTACGGCGGCTTTCGCATTTAATAAAGAAAATATTCCGTCTGAACACCGCACGGCTGGACTGCCAACCACTGGTGGTCACGTCGCCATACACGTCATCAACGGGCAAAACGACTGTCGGTGTTTGGCCGTCCAAATGTCCGGACGGAATATATTTTCCATTCAAAGGACAATAAGTTAAATAAATAAATAAATAAAACTTCTAATCAGCACCTCAAAATCTCAAACTTATTCATTCTATTAATAGAATTTAATAATGAATTTAGCTCAAATCTAGTTAAATACAGCCAAATAACAAAACCTGAAAAATACAGCCAAATAACAAAATCTAATTTCACACATTTTGTGTTTTTTTCCTCACGTTTCATCTCTTTCACGGAAAAATATTACATCAGGACTCTTAATGTAGAGCTACGTTCGGAGTCCACTCATATGCGGACACGTGGAGGTGACAGGAAAATAAAAAAGAAAATTTGTTATGTGGTGGTATTTATGTGTTATTGTGTTCTGAGAATATTCCCGATGTTATAATAATACAACACATTAATACCACCACAATAACACCTGAATAAACACACACACTTTCTTGAAGCCACTTGTCCGCATATAAGCGGACTCCGACGTTAGGAGTCCTGATGTTCCTGATGTAATATTTTTTCCTCTTTTCACGCCGTAAATCCAAATTTATGAAGACGATATTCGGTTACAATTCAGATTTAAGTTACATAGGATTCATCAAATCCAATAAATTTAAATTTATCGATTAACAATCACAAAATAAATCCACCTCACAATTAAATTTATTAACAATAAATCCTCTTGATAGTATTTTCCAAAAACCCCCTAAATTCCATTAGAGGTGGATTTATTCCGCAGCAGCTGGCGAGGGATCTAAGTTGCAGCCGCAGCATTCTCCATGGATTCCGCTCTGCTTGCTCGTCCATCCCGTTTCCATCTCCGGCGAGCGCATGCGGCTGATCTTCAGCCGTCGGCCTCTCTCAAGAGAGGTACAATTCTACCAGTTAGCTCTGTTCGCCGGGCAAGATGGCCACGGCTCGCCGCCACCTCATCGACTGCGATCCCCTCAATGGAAGAAGAGGAGGCAGCTGTGCCGTCGTTGACGTCGTCTCCTTCAGTGGTTGGTACCCTAATGAGGGTTACAACGGAGTCGCTGCAGTATGAGAGTGGGTATCTCGGCGGCATCTCGGAGAAAACTCCGCCGCTGGCGGGTGACGGAGGCCTAAATGGAGCGCCCAGCCCGATGGAGTATCTCACTAATATACTTTCTTCAAAGGCTTACGATGTTGCTATCGAGTCTCCTTTGCAGTTGGCTCCCAAGCTATCGCAGAGGCTGGGAGTCAGTTTATGGCTCAAGAGGGAGGACTTGCAACCTGTAATTTACTCTTTCGTATTGCTTCTTTATTATTTTTTATTTTTTAAATTTATTTATTTATTTATATTTTTGTGTTATGGATCTTTATGTCAGTTTTAGTTAAACGGGGCATTGGTTCTGCTCTTATTGTGGAGCCATCTGCTCCCCTTTTCTCATACTTATCGTAGGCACTCACCTAGGTTGATGGGACTCTTCTGAAGTTGGACTTGCACCCTTCTTGAAGGAGAAAATTTTACATACGGAGTCCGGGCGCAGCTCTGCCTTCGGACTCCAAAAAAATTAAGCCAAGTGTACAAAATTTAAAAAATCACTTGTATTTCGACTCATTAATTTATAATTTTTTTTTAAAGAAGGACCCACTAAAATACACTTAACATTGTGTTATTGGAGTTCAGACACAAAGCTGCATCCGGACTTCGTTGGTAAAATTTTTTCTTCTTGAAGACATTCACACAAAACACCATTGATGCCTAATATTCCCATCCAACAAGTCAATTGACATCACCCATCAATTACCAACTCTACAAATTAAGCCGTAAGGTGTTGTCTGGCAACGTATTAGATTTAAGTTATTAGGATTTAGTATATCCCGTAAATCTTGATTTACTAAAACCTGAATGGGTAAAATCCGGAAAACTATCTGACAACAAATTTATTAAATTCTATAAATCTAATAGAAGAGTTTGGCAAGATTTAGCCTATCACATGTTATCACCTTTGCTCTTACCTACCCGTGCCGCAAATCTTGTAAATATGTCGATTTGTGGGATTTAGTAAATCCCATATTTAGGGCCGAAATCCGTGAAATCAAGATTTATCAAATCCACAACTTTATTTTGTCCAAAATGATTGTTTGACAAAATTTAGCTTGCATCCGGGTTAAATCCTGGGCTAAATTTATTGCCCTTTTAGTGTCTACGTGTTTGTAACCGTCAAATCATATATTATTTTATTTATCTTTTTGTTTGACCTTTTTATAGTGCCAAAAGTCCTATAAATAAGTTGTCAAATCAAGCATTTAGGGACATTTTTAGTATTATGTGCCTTAATAGAGTTTCTATAGCTTCTCTTTCTAGGTTATCTTTCTATACTTTGTTAACTGTGTTGATCTTATGAATCTTATTAGTGGGATTCACGTGTCATGTATTTACAAATTTGGATTTAATATTCTTTTAAGTGAAATGAATATAGAGTGATGTCAAGAATCAAAAGCTAGACATTAGAGAAGTTGATCATACCAACTAAGAAGTGCCCCAAATCATAAAAAAATAATACTTTGTGATCAACATGTAGCTTCTAGTGATAAAGAAGATGATCACTTGGTTGATTTAGAATGCTTCATAATAAGCTCCTTGCGTAGCCCTGAGAATAGAGACATCAGAAGATTCGTCTTAATCCATTATATGACGACAACTCTCAAGTGCCAAAGTGTTGACCATCAAGCATATCGTAAATGAGACCTACTATTACAATGATGAAAGACAAACTTTCCTTTGGCTAGGCGCGTTGAAAAGTGGAAATCACAACCAAAAAATTCATCATTAGAGAAATCGAGAGTCAAAGCTCTTCAAGATGTTTAAATGCTTTATCTTGAGTCATTGTAGAGGGAATATAAATCCACTTGACCATGTGCCTATTTCAAGTCGGCCACATATTGACAACAATGATGTCTTGAAACATTACCCATCCTTCACTGCATTCAAAGAATCATTTTTTCAATAGTTTTTTCATCTCTTATTGTGAGTCATCACCGTTTTTATTAAGTTCAAAAGGAAATTTATCACCTAGTTTGTCTGTGCCTAGAGATCAATGAACATTTTGCAAGTCCTCTTGAAGGCATGATGGCCTCAACGAGTCTTCTAGAAATTTTATTATGAGGTTCTTAAGTTGTTGGAAGTCAAAGGCTTGAAGCCTGCAATCGCTCAAGCTACGCTCACACATTTCGTTCAATAAGCGCTGTTAAGATATGTGCTTGGTTTGCAACAACCTAAGTCATTTGTGAAATTATTTGAGCTTAATAGTCATGTGAAAGCTATAGTATACAACAACATTGCTAGGCTTTCTATTTTGACCTAAATTGCCTCTAGCGAGGCACAACTTCCAACAGGGCCTAGGTGCAATGGTCACTACTTCAAAATTTAGCCATTAAGAGGTTTGTTGAAATTGTGAAAATATCAGGTGCGGTGAACATAGGTGCGGATTGGTGGTATTTGTGGTGGTATTGTTGCCATCCAAAATATCACTAATCCACACCCACGTTCACCGCAAGTAATAATTGCTCATTAAAATGAGATCACATCATAACCATTCGTAGCAACAAGGGAGAACTTGGCAAATAGAGTGGCCGCTCAAAATCATAGGCTTGCCGTCTATCGGTGGAGAAGGAATGTGAATTTGTGTGCGACATTATAACGCGAAACCATTGCTCACCTACTATAATCCAATTGTCACTCTTCTTGTACAAATGTTTTTGATGGAATTCACGGAGACCATTCAAAACAATTATTATTATAAGCAGCTATTGCTGAGCCATGCTAATGATAATAAGATGGCACATGAGGGACTTCTAAGTACTTCCATAAAAATCACAGGCATGACACTAAGGATTGTCGACATTCGAGAACTTTGGTGAAAGATTTAATCAAGATTAGTACTATGAAGGAGTTTATTCTAGCTAACTCTGAAAGGATATTGACGGCGGTGGTATCTACCATTTTAGGGGAAGTGAAAGAAAAAAATGGCGCAACAGAGTAGCCTCCAATAACTCCAATTGGGAGACATAAACTCAACCACCATCTCTATGGAGCCAGACACCAAGATTTTCCTATCTCTTATAGTATGGTTGACAACTTATGAGTGAGAACGACTTAATACCATAATATTGGTCACAACTCGAATGCACCAACTATCAAACATAGAGTTTCTTAATTGGCATCGGGAACTAGGTCAATATTATTTTTAAAGGACCATTTTATAAAATGAACTTTGTGGATGCCCACATGACCTTTACGATAGGGCCACTCTATGGATTTTTGAGGATGAAATGAGAGATTGAAGGAATGAGTACCTTGCCAATCACTTCAGTGATTGTATGACCATGATTGACTCATCTTAGTGGACCGATCCACCACTTACAATGCTATCTTTGGTAGTCCTTTCCTAAAAACTTTTAGAGTGGTCACCTTGCCTTCCCGTTGTGGTGGTCATAAGGAAACTTTGAGAGGGAATCTGATGTGTTCAAAGGCCTGTTACCTTAAGGTTGTGGGGAGCGTGAAATTGGAGATCCTTAAGTTGGAGGTGGATCGAAGTGTGGGTTTGGAAACCACTCAATCAATATAATTCTCATTTGTTAAGGGAATTGTAGCGCACACTCTTTGAAGTATGATCACTTTTATCCCCATCTTAGGAGCCAATTAATCCATATGTTTCAAGATAGTATTTAGGTATTTGCCTTGACAATAACTAAAATGTTGGAAATATATTTCAACATAGCTTGCCACAGATTGAACATGAAGAAAGAGGCTAAGCCCATAAAATGTCAGAAAAATATCTGCTATTTTGATCTAGCCCATTAGCAGTAGGTTGAAAGATACATGAAGTTAACTTGTGAAGGAGGTGCAATACCTCGATTGGATCTTTATTGTGGGCATACTCTAAAGGGTGAATGGGAGGTGAAAAATATGCTCGAACTTTGCGAATCTAAACTCAATGTATCCAAAAGATGGCGACCTATTACCACGAATTAATGTCATGGTTGATTTAGTGGTTGACTTTTCTATGATGAGTTTTCTCTATGTTTTTTTGAGCTACCAATAAATATCAATGCATCTTGTCGGCTGCAAAATAGTAATATTTATACTAGAGAAAGGATTATGCTGTTATAGGTAAAATCATTTAGGTTGAAAAACACATGCGTCATGTACCAAACAGTGATGGATCAAATTTTTAGAAACCAAAAGGTGAGGAATGTTGAAATATATGTGGGCGACTTGCTAGTAAAAGGCAAAAACTCAGACAAGTACATTTTTCCACGTTAAAGTAATGTAAGATGTGGTTCAAACCTTTGAATTGCACCCTTAGAGCAAGGTTAGGAAAACTTTAGGTGTTCCTTCTCACCCTTGAAGGCACTAGGCAGGGTGAAGCCAATTTTGGACATACCATTACCAATGATGCCCAAAAATTACAACAATTGATAAGGCAAGTTGCTTTGTTTAATTGCTTCATTTAAACATATGGAGATAAGTTGACATGGATCGAGGAATGCGAGCCAACATTTTTGCAAGTTATGTCGTTCCTATCATTATCCCTTCGACTACAAAAATGTCCATAACTTGTGGACTAGCTATTATTATACCTCGAAGATGGCAATATAGTAAGCTTGGTGTCAAGCTGAGAAGAGGCAGAAATTAGTGGCCAATATACTATATGAATGAACTTGACATTTGCAATAATGATTACAACTCAACAACTTTGATCCTAATTATCCCACTAAGTCATCACCAACTATTTTCTAATAATAAATTTTACTATCTAATCGTGACCATTTTGGGTGGCTATTAAAATGGGTTGTAATGTTGAGCAAGATCTTGGTTATTTACATGTCAACTTCTACTTGCTATCTAATTCACATAATTCATCATTAAAATAGAAGCAGGGACAGTGACCCAAGGAGATCAATGATGGTCACATATCGAGGGTGTGCTGGAAGATTAGGGTACTAGAGGAGGCATGGCTTTGAACAATTCAATGGGAATCATATTGTTCTGCTCAATGAAAATATGTTTCTTTGCCTATAATAATTAGGCTAAGTACAAAGGAATGATTTTGGGAGTAAAGTTCAATGTTGGGATACGAGTGAAACATCTAGCTATGTTCTTAGACTTTCAACTTTGGTAAACGAGATCAACAAACAACTCAAGACATGAGAAAAAAATTGATAGAAATTTTTCTTTAAAGTGAAATTGGAGATCGACCAATTCAAGTACTTTAAGATAGAGCAAATTGGGAATCGCGACGAGTTGCCTGCCCAAGAATTTTTATGATCTAGCATAGAGGAAGCTAGCCTTTGGTTGTTTATAGTTTGGGGGATATACTTGATTAAGTTACTTCCATCATCTGAGTGCCAAAATGATTTGTATTGATCATGGACTAATTTTTTTAGTGGATTGAGACAATGGAATTGACAAAGGTGACTGTGGAAGTGCTACACAATCCTATGATGATAGTCACTGACAATAAACCACAATTTTCACCAAGAAGTTCATAGTGCTTTGTTAGGCATAGAGAATTCATTTATAGTTTGCCCCATTGCACTATTCTCAAACCAATGGATAGTTGGAAGTTTTCATTAAATTGATTTTAAATCTACTAAGGAAGAATATTGAAGGATCTAAGAGCAACTGGGCTAAGCACTGTCATCAATACTTTGGGCTTTGAAATAACTCCATCATCTTCCATAGTTCAAAATTTTTTCACTGTTCAATGGCATGGGAGCCTTACTCTCAATCAAGTATGACCTACATGGCAAATGTTGGTTGCATCTAACTTTGAGGAATATGAGTTGCCTATTTGGGACACAAGGAACAAAGAATGATTGGAAACTGCAATAGATCTATTGGAAGAATTGAGAAACAAGGCTTTAATGGAAGAGGAGCTTAAGAGAAGATTGATAAAATACTATAACTCTAAGGTTAAGGAGATGACTTTTGTGCCAGAGACTTGGTACTTAGAAGGGCAGATGCAATGATTTGATTGTCTGTCCTCGACAAGCTAGGTTCAACTTCAGAAGGACCTTATATCATAAAAAAAAAATGAAGATATTTTAGAGACATATATTTGGATATTTTCTATATGGAGTGAAAATGAGCTGTAGATCTTCTATCATTTATGCTACCTCTTCTACTTTCTTTGTAACATTTTATGTGAAATAAAAACATTACATAAAGGTAAGTCTAGCGCTACATGTCACGAAGAAAAAACTTAAAAAAAATTATCATTTAATACATCTGTTGAAACAATTCTAGCATTATCAATTGCTGCATAAAAATTTGTTTCTATTCGAGTACTTGTTTGATCTCAAAGTTTGATGAACCCTCATCTCATAAAGGACTCAATATTCAACTCTAGCGGCTGTTTAGGATCAATTTTTGTTTTTGAAAACAAAAAATAGAAAACAAATATAAAAACAGTTTTTGCTTTTTTTTGTTTTATTTCTGTTTTTTATTTTTTTAGAGCACTTATGCTTTTATAATACTAAAAAAAAGAATTTTTTTTTTGTCTGTTTTTAAAACACCAAAACAACCCTTCTCCTAGCCCCCCACCATCACATGCCTGTCGCCGCCGATCGCAGCACTTTCGTAGTTGGCCTTGTCCGTCGCCTTCAAGGGATTGCCGGTCGCTGCCCTTCCGCAGTTGACCCCATTTGTCTTCCGCCCGAGACCACCGGCCGTTGCCCTTCCGCAGCTGGCCCCATTTGTCGCCCCGCGAATGCCGGTCACCGCCCTTCCGCAGCTGGCCCCGTCCGTCACTGCCTCCACCCACTACTCGCCATCATTGTCTCTCTCCGCAGCTGGTCTGCAACTGCCGCTCGCCTCTCTTCGCAGTCGCAGGGCACCATCCTTTGTCGGTTATCGCCGCCACTGGCCTCCGCTAGTCCCAGCCAGCCGTTGCCCTCTGCCACTGCCGGCTGCGACCCCCAGCCAGTTGGCGGCTTGCCTTCCTTTGTCGCCGGTTCCGACCTCTAGTGTCGCTGCTGGCTTTGGCCCTG